AGTCGTTGAACACTGGTAGTTCGGTCCGAGGTTCGAATCCCACGAACGGGCTGGCTGCATGGGCGTTTTCGTGCTTTTCCCGATGTGTAACGTGTATACGAGCCAGTTTCCCTTAGAAAGTCCTCCAAGAAGGCATCCCTCCCCTTAGGCCGATAGCCCTAGTGTGCTTTGCCATAATTAAATACACACACACACACATACACACATTCTCCGGACTCTGCACATGCAGATAAAATTGTTAGACGTAATCGTTGAAACTAAACTATTAAATGCCATTCAAGCGATTCATAGAGCATGATGTTTACATCACACACGGATAATCCGCACCCATATAATCGAGAGAACACTGTCTCGCATTCAAAAGGGTTTCCTTTCCATCAATTGAAAATTACCCCAATAAAGAAGCTGTCTCGATATTTCGATGGCAAATGAAAAGACCTACTCAAAATATGAGTTTTAACTCACTTCATTGCTTTTGTTATGGAAAAGCATACATAATTTCAGAATGTCTGTCTTGAAAAGAATAAAAAAATCAAGCCAAAATGCATAGAGTTCTTAATCTAGAATGTCTCTGATAAAACTGAGAAGAAATAACCGAATAACAGAGAAGAAAAATTTGATATAATAAAGACCTAGCTAAACGAAAAAAAATTATGGCCAAACAAGAAAAGAGAAACGGTGTTTGAAATGTCTTATTCAGAAACTACTCGGAACAGAAATGTAAAGAAAATGACGAAACTGAAAAAAGACTTCACGTGATTAAATTCTAAAGCAATAATCATACTAATCAAGAAATGAATTCAGCTTGCACAATCAATCAAGAAAGCAAAATCTCCAATCAAGAAACTGCAAATAAGAATGAAAGCGACAGAAATTGTGGCGCTTTGGGCGAATTAAGCAAGCTTTTCACAGGCCGGTGTTGAATAAGCATCGCAAAACTGGTTAAAATAAAAAGAGGAATGACACGGCACACAAAAAGGATCCATGATAACTTGTTACACTAACTACGCTTGTTATAATTCGATACGCTACATATTTTTACTCTTAAAGATTACATTGTGTTTATTAGATTAAGAAAAAGCACAGCGATTCGACTATTATATTTCATCAAATTATAACAAAGCACAGCTATTGGTCTATTAGAATTTTTATCGGTCTATAAGATTATGCCAGATTATAAAAAAAAACTGCTATTGATCTCTTAGATTTCATTGAATTATACTAGAGCACGACTATCCGTCTATTAGATTTTTTATCGGTATGCTAGATTTCTTTAGATTATAACAAAGCACGGCTGTTGGTCCATTAAAATTCACCAGGTTCATAAAGAACGGCTATTGGCATATTAGATTTTTTTATTCGTGTATTACATTTCATGAGCTTATATTTTTTTACCTGTCAATTACATTTCATCAGGTTATAATAAAGCACTGTTATTTCTATACTACATTTACAGATTAAAACAAAGCACAGTTATTGGTTTATAAGATTTTTTGTAGGTCTATTAGATTTCATCAGATTATACAAAAGTATGGCTATCTGCTACGACTTTTAGAGATCTATTACTCGTTCGCTATTTGATTCAAAGAAATGATTCATTTTACTAAGTCAGCCAACGCCTGATTAAAAAAATAAAATAAAAAAGAAAAATGAAAAAGACTTAATTGGACCCTTTGGACGTAATTTAAAATCTGAAAGGCTTCAGATTTTAAATTACGTCCAAAGGGGCTTTTTTTAACGTTTTGTGTGTTACCTTTATTTATTAAATATCATGTTCAACGCACACAAACCATAAAATTCAGTTCAACAGCAGTATCTCAAAATAATTTTAAAATGAGCATATCCTTAGAATTTCCTATACAAAGCCTCGCGCGCTCGAGATAATTTTTTTTTTTTTTTTTTCCGTACAATGTTGTCACTGCTCAATCTGAAATCTTTAGTTTGTTAATCAAAAATTCATTGAAGTGTTACAATATATGAAATCGATAATAAAACAAATTTCAAATTCAAATTGGGGCCTCCACATGCCCATATTCTATGGAAGATTACGTTATTGAAATTTTGATGGCTCTAGGCACCGTTCTTTTATCGCAATGCGGGAACATACTTACATTCATGCAGACTCTTCATTATTTAATTTTTTAAAATATAATACAGGGCTAGCGATAATATTTGGTGGCAACAATTTGAAACGTGATTCGCCATTTATAGGTTTCAGCGCAAAATGCCCAAACGAAATTAATAGTCTTTCAGGGCAATTTGCCCCTTTGGACTAAACATTCTGAAAGCTTTTAGGTTTCATATTACGCCCAAAGGGGCGTTTTTTTCATTAACAGATATATACGTCATGAGAGCATTTGGACTAACTCCCCTGCGACGTAAAATTATTTAAAAACAGCATATCTTTAGAATTTCCGATAGACAGTCTCGCGCGCTGCAGACAAGAATGTTTTTTCGTACAGTGTTGCCCCTGCTTGCTTTGAAAAACATTGAGTTTTTTAATCGAAATTTCGCTAAATTAAAAAAATATGAAATAGATAATAGAACAAATTTGAAATTCAAAATTTGGGCTTTCAGGTGCCCTTATATTTAGGTGGAGGACTACGTTATTCGGCGGCTCTAGGTACTGTTGTTTTTTGTACCGCTGTTTGTTGTACAATAGGAAAATATACATATATTCATGCAGATTCATCATTATTTAATTTCTTTAAATATAACACAGAGCGATAATATTTGGTGGCAACAATCTGAAAAGTGATTCAACGCTTTAAATGATTTGATAAAAATGCCGTTCGAGATTAATAGCCCTTCTCGGGTAACGCCCTTTTGGGTTAAAAAATGGGATGGCTCACTGGCTTTTCTACAGTTCACACACCGAGAGGTTTTAGAAGAAGCGTATCAGGAAAAAGTGAATTTAACTTTTTTCATTTATGAACTTAAGGTAAACTTTTTATTTTGAAATTTTAGTTATGCAGAAAGGGAATTTTACAGAATCTCAAAACCACAGTTGAAAGAAATCAGGCCAGGTAATTAGCGTTAGAATGAGTTGGTCTTCAACTGCTCGTTCAATTCTTTTCGCTCCATTCTCATGCACAGTTACTGATTTTTAGTGAGCGGTGAGTCATGAAAAGAAACCAATTCAGTTGAATCAGCAAACGGTTCTTACCGGATCTGATAAATAAGCGGTTTTGCCCATCTATAATGGCTATCCGTCAATGGAAAGGGGTGCATTCGTGGAGAGCTTCTTGCGAAAATCGTATTTGTATGGAAAAACACATGAAAGTTTTCACGAAGGCAACATATTCGTTGGGATTTGAATCTAGGTCGAACTACCAGTGCTTAGTAGTTTTATTCGTTTGGCCACTAACAGAGGCTATTATTGAAGAAATGTGGGAATGTGGTCAATCATACATGCATGTAATGTCAGATAAAAATACAGATATGACAATTCTAACTTTAATTTGCAATAGTCCATTAAATCTCCAATTGAATTTTGTTATTTCTCCTTTCCATCATAAAAATAGTGATTATGTATAATAAACTCATCCAAACTGCGTTATTTCAAAATGAATGTTCCTTGCATTATTCTTACATAATGCAAATGCTAGCAAAACGCTTCAGCCAACTATAATTTTAAATATGGGAACGGAATTTTAAATTTATGAAATAAGGATAAAGTGCAATTAAATCATTCTGCACTAAACTATCAACTTGGTCATATCGCATTGTTGCGGTCTCTTTTTATCAATTTTATCCTCATAACATTGAAAGAGAGCACACATGTGATGAAGAAGAGGCGCGTAAATTGTGTCTATTGCACTGCAAGAACAGGTGGGCAGACTGCGCTGTATAATTAAGATTAAGAATATGCTTCTCGAGAAATAAACTGTGTAGAATCGTTCATGAGTGCAGTCACTTCTTTACGCATCTACATGCCAATAACTCTAAATTATTTAATATATATATATATAATATATATTTTTCAAACATAAAAATTAAATTAAAAATTAAATAAGAAAAGGTACTAATTCTAACAAGAAAGTACATTAATTAAATTAAATTTAATAACATTTAATTAAATAAATTATAATAACATTAATTAATAATAAATAAATAAATAATTTAATAAAATAAAAAATTTAATTAAATAATAGAATAAAATTAATGTTAATCAATATAACATGATAAAATTTGAAAATTCCTTTTCAATAAGCAATGGCAGTATTTTAAACATAGCCATGTTTTTAAATCAGCACTTAAATAACTATAACACTAGTTATCTGAATTCAACTGTCCTTAACAAAGTATGAAGTTGAGAATGAAACGAAACCTCATAATAGCATTCAAATAACATAGCCCACAACAGAAATTGTTATCAGTATAAAACTGGTCAAATTTGCAGGTCTACAGTTTCGTAGGTTAATTTGAACCTTCTTCGTGTGCAGAAATAAAAATTGAAGAAGAAGAAAGGTGCTCACACAATAACAATAGGCCAAAAATTCCTAAGGCTTCTCCTAAGGTAAAAGAAAGAGAGCAGCTGGAGATATCTGCTGGTAAATCCTGAAAACAATAACGAAAAAATTTCTTTAAAAGTTTAAAGCTTTTTGCAACTGATAGAATCAGTGGTGTGTTTTATCTCCATTATCTGGAACTTTATTTAACTTTTTGCTATTTCTAATGCGTATGAACATGTTTACTATTCCTCATTTTCACGTCCGCACCTGAAAATGGTTCTATTTAGGCTTTGAAACTCTAGTCCTGTAAATTTGCAAAATGTATGCTAATGCTTCTTATTATAATATCTTTATATTTATTTTATGATGTATTCTCTTTCTTATAACTGAACAAATTAGTATTAATGGTTTTAACTCACGGATTATGCTTAAGATTAATTTAATTTCTGAAGCTAAGATTGAAGTCATGGATAATAAAATAAGCAATTTAGATATTCAATTTAAGTAAACACATATCAATAAATAAATGGAAATTCGAAAACTTACTCAGGTTCGACGAAATTTTCTGGGAAAACGTTCCTCCTCGTCCGAGATATTATTTCTGAGTCTGAAGTGTTGTGGGTGGGGGGTATGTTACACGTGACAAGAATCATCTGGAGTTCTTCTTGAGGTTCTTCTACTATTAATCTGTGATAGTATATTCGCACACCCTGAAAATAAATAAATTATTTAATTTCTGAACGACATTACATGTATAAGTAAAGATTAAAAATATATGTTTAACTGAAAAACTGTGAATGTTGTAGTCTAGAGTAATTCATTTAACTTCATAAGATTAATATATGCAAATGTAAAATCTGCATGTATAAACGCTTGAATATTTCAAAGTTAATATTACAGATTATTAAAGTTTTAAATTCCTGCGAGCCGCGAAGTCCTCTCGAGAGGGTCGTGGAATTACTTTTATATTCACAAAATTACTGAAACCTCAAAAACAATTGAATGATATTGAGCTAACTAATTTCGAATTATACATTCATATACTAATTTCGTACAGCTTTTTAATTCTGCAAGATTTGGTAAGGTATAAATGATTTCAAACTTACTTTTTATTTAGCTTGATATTTATCTATTGTAACTGCCAATCTCTATCTTTTATATAAATTGATGTTCAAAATTAATTTTATCTTCAACAAAATCACTAAAATATATAAATAATAATAATAACCATTTAATGATTCTGGGCAAATAATTTCATTTCGAATTACACATATAATAATTTTATTCACCTTTTAAATCTGAATCGTGTCAAGTTTTGTAATGCATAGTTGGTTTGTAGTTTAATTTATTTCTTCTTAATATTTATCCATTTTTGTCTACTACTCAAGTTGTCATATTTCTGCTTTTTTGTATCAATTGATGCCCAAAATTACATTTACCTCACTAAATCACTGAAATCAACGTCCAGACTCTTCTTTATGACCCAAAATCAGTATGTAATAATTTTATGATTTAAATTTTATTTCGAAAAATTCCTTGGAAAGTAGTTTTTGAGGCTAAAGGTGCAATTTTTCCAGGAGTTTCCAATAGTGACCTACGCAGCGGTAGGAGGTTATCAAGTGCCGACCATTGCTGAGTTTTTAAACTAATTTAAGCAGTGGTAAGTAACAGAGAGCTGCAAAAAGCAGTCAGGCAGTTAGAGTTTAGTTGTTAAAGTTGAGACTATTAAATCTGTAAAAAACTTATGATATTGTGTTTAATCCTCAAAATGCCCTTCGACATTTTGTGAGCGATGTGCAATATTCTTATAACGTTGAGGAGAGTTTTAGCATATATATCACTGCTCTTGCCTCAAATAAAATTTGAAATTTTACTTGTTCATGTGTCTTGGTTGTTTAAAGATATGCTGAAGAAACTAATACGCAGACACAAAGAGATAAATTAGCTAACCAATCACAAATAATTTCCTTGATTTAAAATTATTAACAGTCTCCTTGGGTGCTCTAAAACTTATTGCTGATAAAGAAATTAGTAAATTTAGTTAAATGAAATTGTTAGCTAAAATTATGATAATTCCTTTCTAATACTTTAAAGATGATTAGACACCTAGATGATTTCCATCCCGATGTTAAATCTGTGGTTTTACCACTTAAACCAATATCGATCTTACGCAGCCAATGAACAAGTACGTGACTGTTAATTTAAAAAAAAATATTATCTACGCCGTACGTAGTCGCAAGCACTTAAAGACGTTGATGAAAACCTGGTATTACTTTGCGGCACTTTTAAAAGGATTACAATATTTAAAATAGTGTATGTGAAGATTTAACAAATGTAAACATGAATGCTATGTGGAAGAGTATGTGAGCCTATTTTGTTCATGATTATCATGATTTTAATCAATAGGGTGAAAAGAAGAATGTCCTTGTAAGTCTCTTCGACATTAGTAGGTAACACGGTCAGACGACAATTCAAGGTACGAACTCTATAGTACATTGAGTGTCAGAATGTCAGAAAATTCCGAAATAAAATTAACCAAAGGCCACAAAACTTTGAAAATCTAATATCAATACAGCTGATTTTTTTTTTTAATTGACGCCCTGCTTTCTTCCTAAGTTCACATTTAAGCTAAATATATTTCTTAAGTTCCCCTTTTCCATATTCCATATTTCTACCTATGGATATTTTTAAAAGAATGTAGTAAAGGTAAGGAAGATACAAAAATTCATAAAACAAACATTCGCGTTAAATAATGAAAGAAAAAAATACCTTCGTCTAAACACGCTTCTACGAGGTGCGTAAATAAAATAATAAGACTGAATATTTTGTAACTTTTTATTCAATTAACAGTACAATCTCACATTGTCTTCTTTAAATTAATCATCTTGGGAAGCCACACAGCGTTGGAGACGAGTTTTACAATCTTACAGTGCAGACCACTAGAACTTGGATGTGGAGCCATCGCTGTGGAATTTGGATGCAGGAATCCCCCAATCTGGTCAATTACGATTGTTTTAATGCTTTCTGGTGTCTCAGAATAACGTTTTTTGAAGTGGAATTTCAATATTGGGAAAAGAAAAAAATCATCTGGACTCAAGACGGGAAATAAGGAGGCCAAAGAGCTACAACGATGTTTTTAATAACCAAAACTCATTAACTCAAAATGCAGTGTGACAAGTCATATTGCCGTGGTACAACACCCAGTTGCTCTTGGTTCTTAGCTTCACGCATATGAGCCTTTTCCAAAGTCCTTCAAGAACTTCAGTAAAAGTGTCGGTTTACCGTTTGGTCTTCAGGCACAAACTGTTTGTGGACGATTCCCCGGCAATATATAAAGCAAATCAAAAAGCTTTTGATCTTCGGCTTGCTCATTCTTGCTTTTTCTAGTTTTCGTGAGTTCAAGACTGCCACACCTGACTCTGGCTCTTAGTTTCTGAGCCGTATTCGAAAACCCGAGATTCGTTACCCCTAATAATATTCTGCAGAAAAGCCAAAAAAATTAAGAAATTTCATCCCTAGATTTCTTCCCACGAAAGATTTTTAAGAACACTTTTGGCATAGATTTTCTTCATCCTCCATTCGTTTGTGAAAATCTGATGAACGGTTGTGTGATTCAACACTTCGCTGACCATTCTGACTGTTAAGAGACAATTAGAATGCCCTACATCTGAAATTTTGGCAATATTTTCGACAGTTCTTGCAGTTACAGGTCTTTCCTTGTGAGGTTCGTTCATCAATCTGATACTCTTCCTTCTGAAAATGCCTTGGAAATCTTGGCTCTAGACAAAACAATGTCTCCATAGACATGCTGAAGCTTTGCAAAAGATTTTAAGCAAAATCTGTTTGCCCAATGTTGCTCAAAATTAATGTCATTTATTTTCAGAGCGCATTAAAATAAAAAAAGGAAAAAACGCGTTTATAGAAAGCATTTCTACAGACAGCTACGTTACTCTACGCAGTTCAAACTCTTCTTGATTCTGCATCGAATATTTCTCCACACTTCCCGCTAAACAGTATGTTTCCATACCAAATTCTATGCTTCCAGTCTCATTACTTTATTTACACACCTCGCATATTAAATTTTTAATGTGGAACTAAATACTTTATATTTTTCATTGCAAAGCTAACCTAACATCTGTTTTCATGAAAGTAGAATTACTGAAACCTCTGCTATTACAGAAATAGAATTAAAAAAATTACCAAATGAGCAAATCAGCTTGCAAAGAAATTTTCAATTAGTAAATTTAAGAAGAATATTATCCCGATCTCTGTATTAATCAGTTTTTTTAATAATATAAGGAAATCTTTAGTGTATTTTTATTCGAATTGCTTATATAGTTACATAACTATTTCCACTTCTAGGGATACATGAATTGCAGAATTAATTAGTTTAATTATTCTAAAGGTTCTAAGAGTCTGATTCTTATAGATTTTAATTCCTATTTGGATATTTATTATTAAAGTTTCTGTTAGAGTATTTATCTAATTTAATTCGTTTATGATATAAATACTTCAACGACTATAAAAAGAATTTTAAAGAATTCTTTACATGGACTAAAATTATTATAAATAATACTATTATCTCAATTATTCGTAAAGTAAAAAATAATTTTTATAATTATTAGAAAATTCATTTGCAAAGAAATAATTGAAAAATAACTTAATAAATTTATAACAAATAAATTGATAAAAATGGAAAAAATAGCAAATTAATCTGCAACAAACTTGACATTCGAAAGTCCTCAAAAACGTACTTCGTTTTATTAGCTCTGTATGAATGTTTTATAAACCTTCAACTCAAATTTACATTTACCGTAAAAGAAATAAATAATTTCAAAATTCAACAAACATTTCTTTTGAAACCTTACTGAAATATGGTATAATTTTCCCCTCCAAATGTAATCATAAGACAAAATTTAAAATAATGAGTCTTGTATTTGCTATTGTGTATCTCTGAAAACTCGTCTATTTAAATTTAATCAAGCATTTCGTCGCTTTGCTCTACAGTGTTAATGTATTGAATATTTTTTTATATCTATAAATAGATCACACAGTTTCATTCCTAATTTTTGCACTTATATAGAATTAATATCTTCCCCCTCCAAATTAACTGCATCCATGTGAGAGCATAATATTTTAATGCAACGCGTAAACTTATTTTTGATTTTAAAAAATAATTTTATTTAAAATTTCAAAAGCCACAAATTATTGCAAATACCAACTATTTTAATGATATTATTCTTCAATCCTGAAATTAATACTCGTATCTTAAATTATTGAGAACGATAACTTAAAAAAATTATGATTATTTGGGAAAAATATTAAAATCCGTAAGAGAAATTACACTTTTCTATAATAAGAATTTTATATGAATTGTACTTTTTGTTATACTACAGCAGAGAGTTTAAATATGAAACTTAAATACCTTACACTTTACTGAATGGCAACACACTGATGAGCAGAAAACAAAGCCATTTTATTTTAAGCAGTGGAAACATACTGTTTTTAAATACCTGAAATTAAGATTGAAAGACTAATATCTTTCATTTTGCCGAATGGTAACAGTCGGAGATAAAATTGTTTTATTTCTAACAGTGTTGCAACCGCTCGCTTTGAAATTTTTGAGTATATTAATCAAAAATTCCTTAAACTTGTATAATGCAAATATGAAATAAATGAAAGCTAACTTCGAAATCCAAAATTCCGGTTC